TAGTAGTAGTAGTAGTAGTAGTAGTTGTTGTTGTTGTTGTTATTGTTATTGTTACAGATTTATTTTTTCTTACCTAAATTCTTAATTTGTTTGTATATTTTTTCATTTTATTTTGTGTTAAAAAATAAAAATTAAGAGATTTGAGAAGATTGGAAATTTTTTAACAAAGCTTTTCTTATGGAAAACCTGATGCCTCATCCAGACTCTGCCTCCAGCGGCCCCTCAAGTAAATTGAATTTGAGACCCCTGAAATAAAAGGTCAGCTGGGACTTCTCGTAAAAGCAGAGAAGATTCCGAAAATACAATAAACATATGTTTATAATGATACAAATTTATTTATTTATTTATTTATTTATTTATTTATTTATTTATTTATTTATTTATTGTATTTATACCCCGCCTATCTAGTCATTTCGACCACTCTAGGCGGCTGCAATCTAGTTTGATTCTGCTCCGGTATCAACACCGTCTTAACTGGCAGCAATGACTTAAACTGTCTTTTAATGAAAGTGAAAGAAGAAAGTGTCAGAGAACTGCATGTCCGTATTGACAACGAAGAGATTGAGATGGTTAAAACTTTAGTATGCCATGGTTCAGTCATCAATCCAAAAAGAGACTGGAGTGAAGAAATCAGAAGAAGACTGAGAATTGGAATGGGAGCAATGCCGTCTTAACTGGCAGCAATGACTTAAACTGTCTTTTAATGAAAGTGAAAGAAGAAAGTGTCAGAGAACTGCATGTCCGTATTGACAACGAAGAGATTGAGATGGTTAAAACTTTAGTATGCCATGGTTCAGTCATCAATCCAAAAAGAGACTGGAGTGAAGAAATCAGAAGAAGACTGAGAATTGGAATGGGAGCAATGAAGGAGTTAGAAAAAATCATCAAGTGTAAGGACGTGTCACTGGAGACCGAAGCAAAATCATCCACATGATTATATTCCAAACCACTATGTATGGGTGTGAAAGCCGGACAGTAAAAAAACTGACAGGGGGGATTTGATTCATTTGAAATACGGTGCTTGGAGAAGAGCTTTGCAGATGCCCTGGACTGCCACAAAGATGAACAACTGGGTCCTAGATAAAATCAAACTCGTACTTTCTCTGGAGTCAACACAGATGAAACTGAGATTGACTTACTTTGGGAGGATCACAAGTAGGTAAGGTTCTCTGGAAAAGAGAAGAATGCAGCAGGAAAAGTTCAAAAATGAGATGGACTGATTTCATAAAGGAAGACACAGACTTGAGTTTACAAGAGCTGAGCAGGGTAGTTGAGGGCATTTTGGAGTTAGCTCATTCATAGGGTCACCAGAAGTCAGAGGTAACTTGACTGTAAGTAACAATAAGAACAAGGATTAAAACATGTCTACATGCACTTTTGTAATGTGTATATTTTTACTCATTGAATTTTATATTTTACATTTTGTGCAATTTCCACATCCCATCTCAACCCTTGCAAATGTATAGATTTCCAGAACAAGACATGTTATCTTCCATTAGCAGTCACAGGAGGTGAAAAATAGATATTTCTGTATGGAAATATGAATCCAGTATATTTATTTCCCACTCCACCTAGGAATTTAGGAGAACAGAAGCAATCTTTACACTTGCTGTCAAGTCAGACTTAAGCCACACCAGTGACTCAACTCATATTTGACCTTTTTTCCCAATGACTTGGACTTGACTCATAACCCACACACACCTTCCTTTTTTCTGGGCAAAATAGCTTGTTTTTAACAGGGAGTTAGACTTGTGCCTTGGGATTCGAGACTTGGTGCTAAAGACTCAGATTTGGACTTGGGTCTCAGACCCAAAGACTGCCAACATATTTGCAATTTACAACCAGAATCATTTTCATTTATGTCTACAGCTTGTCCACCATTTTTCCTGGCAATCCAGTCAGATACCTTGCCTAGTCTACTTTTTGATTTAGTGGATCCACTTTACAAATAATCTTTTATTTTATTTTGTATCTTGCTCACAAACTCTCTCAAGGTCTGTGGTGAAAATGAGTATTTTCCTAATTTCAAGGACCATTGCAAACATCCCTGATTTGGTTTGCCCAGGAAGAATCTTTTGCTGGCGCTTCATTGTCCTCAATCTTGTTTATTAAATTAATTTGGGGGAAATGGTCATAGCAGGATATTTGTTTATAAGATGATGTATCATTTCTTCCGCAGAGATAATACAAATGCAGGAACAAGTGATACCTTTATTGGACCATTATGAATATAAAACAAAGAACAAAAACAAACAGCAAGCTTTTGATGATAATTCATCTTCTAGCTGTGCACCAGGTTCTTGTAGGTAGTTCCCAAATTAAATACTTTAATTAAAGTCCCAAAGTCTCATGGCTGGTATAGGGGCTAGGTTTAGCTTCTTAGATGGAATGCCTGCAGCCAGGATTTTGGAATTTATGACCCAACTCTTTTTAAAATCAAATACTGGCTGAGGATGAGTTTGAAACTACACCCTCCTCCCACAGCCCCCTTGCAGACTGTAAACTGTAGACCATTATATTCTTAATGGTCCATTAAAGGTATTACCTGTTCCTGCATTTGTATTGTTTCGAGGACCATGTGGCCTTTTCCTGATTTTTCCATAGAGATAGTTTAAGTACCAAAATCTGCTTGAACAGGTTTTCTGTCTGGCTGATTTTTTGAACTTTGACCTACATTTTGCTTCTTCCAAGCTATCTCTGTTCTGATGTTTGCCTCTTTTTTGTCCTTGTGGGACATTATGCTGCTGTTTCAAAGGGAAGAGTTTGCCCATTTATCATTTGTGGTTGATGGTTAGCTGACTTCTCTTGACCTACATTGTGCAGTGGTGCCTCTGCAGCCATTAACCCAGTAAATGTCATGCTTCAACCTCAGCTTCTGCTCTTAATGTTCAAACTGCTTATGCTTCAACCATTTTAACAGAATATATCCAGTAAAAAGTATTCTTTTGCTTGTTTGTTAAAGAAATGTGTCACATAATGACACATAATGACAAAAACTCTGAAGGGTTGCAGTGTGCCTTGAAATCCTGTTTTCTGGTGCTAATTTTTAAGGCCACATCAGTTCCCCCACAGAGCCTAGAAGTCCTCTCTCCAGGATGTTACAAAATTTGGTCTTATTTCTAGATATACTCTACCTCCCAAACAATTTCTCTCTAACAAGCAGGTGAAGTATACTGAAGCTAATGATCACAAAACAAGTACTGTACTAGTCATTCAGAAAATGAAAATGAAGCTGCTCCTACTAAGGCAAAAGTTAAAGGTATGGTCTCAAGTCTATATTGTCATTACTTCAGAAGCAGAAGGGAGATCAGGATGTACTGATCTTGTAGTGAGCTGCAGTAGACCAAGAAGGACTTCTGGCTTGTCAGACCTCACTTGGGGGCCCTCTGTATTATCTCCCTTATAAGCCAAATGAAGCCACACAGAAGCCTAGATGTTTACAGCTGACAAATGTTTTATATGTTTGTCATAACTGACATTTTCCCAGGAAAGGGTTAATAACGGAAATCAGACAATCATAGACAAGTGTTTCAAAATTCATCTAGATATATTAAGTATAAATATTTTCTTTGTTGCAATAATTTCAGGCAACTTTCAAAGCCTATATTTTTATACATTTTATCTATTTACTTCATTTCTATGTTACATGAGCATAACATGTGATCCAGTAGTACTGAAGAACATATATAACTTTTGAGAATTCACGGACAAAACTTAAAATTTTCAGGAGCATCTCTTTTTAAAAAGAAAGACTCTTGAAAGTAAAAAAAGAACAATGTAAATATTTCAAATGCCATCTAAAATAAAAACTACATCTCTTGTAGTCATCAAGAATAAAAATACATAAAGTAAAAAAAAAACCCACATTATCTAGGTCCAAGCAAATTAAGATACACAGAAAAACATTTCTAAACAACGCTCACCCACCGTATCTCTAAGGAGGAAATCTCATTGTTGATTTTTTGGAGCCACTTGCTTATCTGTGGCCTTGGATAAGATGCAGCCGCTGCTGCATCTCTTCACTGATTCCTCTGATTCTTATGATGGGAAAACACAGCTTATTTATATTCTAAATTTTGTTTGCTTAATTCTTCTAAAAAACAGCAGCCACCCCTGCCCGTAAACATCAGTTGTTTACTTTATCTGCTTGTTTTTGCTTATAAGCAGAAAGAAAAACAATGCTGACATCATCACTGTGGTTTCTAAGCAAAACAAAATATATTTACACCAATGGCTCTTTTGTGTTGCTGTATTGTCGTATTTAGCACCAAGAGCTAGCATCAGTTACCTCTCTGGAATTTTCTTAAGGGTTTCTGAGCATTTTTTGGAAATGCTTGAAGGACTCAAGTGGTTTTCAGTCAAGGGTGAGTTTGCACTTTGCTGCTTATCTAATCCTAACTCATGACATGGAATCTGCATGTTGCATAACTGCCCCACTCTAACTTGCTACCAAGGATTGGGGTGGGGGTTGCCATTCAGGCAAATCACCAACACTTCAGAAGCTTCAGTGTATATAGGATTTATTTATTTTTGCCCCAACCTACATTTACTCAATTTAAATTTCCTTTTCCACTTTGTTGTCCATCTATTTTATTTGAAAATAAAAATTTCCCATAAGCTATTTGCATTTTCATCACTGTGAATATTTTGATGTCATTCTCAAATTTCAGTACTCATTCTGATAATCTTCTGAAGAGTTTAAATGGCAGCAATCTCAAAAAAGGACCTTGGAGAATCCACATCTTTTCCCTCTATGAGGAGAACTATTCTCTGATCCCTATTTTCTAACCAGTTCTTAAACTATAATATAATTATTACTCGGAGCAGAATGTAAGCTAACGGGTCTGATTTTAAAAAAAATTCCTCCAGGTTCCTTTTGAAAAAACTGGTATTGGCCATATTCCCATCCTCTGATACAGAGGCCCATCTTAGGGACATACTTCATATTGTTCTTAGAAAACTGGGCATAGCAACTGAATTATTTAACTTTCAGATAGGTACCAGAAATTTGTTTGTTTTCAGGTTGCCAGTAAAGTCAGAACTTCATCTTTGTCACCACTGCTTGCCTCAGTTCCTCCCTCTCCCTGAAAATACTAGTTGATGCACAGGTGTCTACCCTACATGTCTGCCATGTTTTCATCTGTGAAGGTTTTTCACAAATCCAATGTCAGTCATTTTGGAGATGCTTATTGTTGGCTGGATTGTTTCTAGTATTATGTGGCTTTCCTATTATCTTGATGTTCCGTGATAACAGTAAATTTGAAAAGGATCAACTGTTATGTGCTGTTGCCTACTCTCCAAGCAGAAGAGTTTTCCAGTGGGACTGCTCCTACTAGTTTCTACTAGATCAGTGGTTCCCAACCTTGGGTCCCCAGATATTCTTGGACTAGAAATCCTGGTCAGCACAGCTAGTGGTGAAGGCTTCTGGGAGGGTGTTTTTCTGGGTTTTTTTAAGGGGAGCCACTGATCTAGATACAAGAGTAGCTGAGACCTGTTATCTCACACACTCACCACTTTTCTTTATAATATTTGCTTTATTTACAGATATACAAGCAGAACATACCATATTTTTCGCGCCATAAGATGCATGTAATTTTAGAGGAAGAAAAACAGGAAAAAAACTTCTGTCACATCTGGCTGTCTGGGCGGCACTGTGGCATTTCCCTGTGGCCTGGGTGGCAGCAGGAACCATAGCCCAAGTAGTAATTGTGGCTCCCCCTCTCATTTATCGTTACCTGGTTCCCCCCACACACCCTTACTTTTGGGGGAGTGCAGAAGAGACACCTCAGCCAGTCCCTGACAGGCATCCTGAGAGACAGAAGAGAGAAAGAGAGAGAGAGGAGGGAGACGGGAAAGGGAGAGGAAGGAAAGGGGAAGTGTGGAGGAGCCACCACTGCCGTGTGAGTGAAGGAAGGGCTGGCAGAGCGAAAAGCAAGGCGAGGGCGAGATGAAAGCTGAGACGAACAAGTAGAAGAGAGGAAAGCCACAGAGGGGAGGAGGAGGAGAAGGAGCTTGTTGCGCTTCCCCCAGTTTCGAGTCTCCCCTCACATCACATTCTGCTGGTGGCTGCGGTGGTGGCACAGGGCTTCAGCAGGTGCCCCTCTGACGTTCAGGTCCCAGCCTAGTGAGGGGGACGCAGAGAGATGAGAGAAACCCAGAGCAGGGGGGTCGACGGAAGAAGAGGAGGACAGTGGCATGGACTCTGAGGGGTCTGCACCATTTTTACAGTATTCACTCCATAAGACACAAACACTCCCCCCCACTGTTTTTGGGGGTAAAGTGTGTCTTATGGAGCAAAAAATACAGTAAGTTGGAGCAGGAACAACTATAAGTAGTGAATCAAAGGAGCCGGCATTGGGCCCTCCAGAAGACTAACTTTTGTAATCTGCTTCTGAAAAACTGCAATCCTTTTTTTTTTTTTTGGAGTACAACTCCCAGAATCCCTCAGCTAGATAGGGGATTCTGGAAAATGTGGTACCAAAACATCATGTATCCAATGCTCTGCTGCTTTCCAGTTCTGCTGTCTCCAACTAAATTCTCTGCTCCCTCATGTCCAAATGCAGAAGAACAAGTGTTTCTTCACACCTCCTCGTAGCCTGCAAAACACTGGCTTCACATTCTGCTTCTGAAGCCAGATTGCTTATTTAGGAGAATATCCACAGCAATTCATGTATCATTAGGTTCTGTTGTGAAATAACCGATTCCTTTCAGCCAAACCCTCAGTGACAGACTTACTTGCATTAATCAAACAGGCAATGTCACAAACACCGGAGATACACTTATGTGCTTGTAACACCTCTGATTTCTCATAGCAAGTATCACTGCTTCATGCAGATTATACTTTGCTAGAGGGCCTTTTTCATTTACCATATGCTGCATTGATTTGATATGCAGCTGTTTGTTTGTCTTGACTTCTGAAATTGTGTTGCTACAAAACAGATTCTTTTAAAAACACAGTATCATCATCATTACCCCACAAACTGGTCTAATGGTCACAAAAAATATGTGCTGGTTGCAATCAGGCACCTCCCAAATATCAAGAAAGGCAATTGTGGCAGGAGACATGATAGAAGGATAGCAGAATAGCATTTGAAACTGAAAGAAAGATGTAAGGGTGAAAGAATCTCATTTGCTGCTCTTGTTTATGCATCATGCCTTCTTGATTTCAAAGCAGAAGACGGTACATGTTCTTCTTCTCAAAGATGTAATTGGATAATTTATTTGTTCTTCACTATGCTTTGCCTAGCAAGTGTAGTTAAAAGTGAGATTAATTACATTGTTATTTCCATTATACCTTGTGTTTCTGTCGAGGAGCTCAAGAGAATGTACATGTTTCTCTTTATCTCCATTTTATCCTCACAACAGTTCTGTGAGATAGATTAGGCTAGGAGTCAACTAATGCACCAAATACCTAGCATACCTAGAACACAATTGCTACCATTCACTTAAGCTCATCAACGAGAGGTAAAATGCTGAAACACTTGTGAAGTTCCATCTTGCCATTTTCCAAAGCATTTCTTGTCATGAGCAATTTGATAATGGCTTTTCTAAACACATATTTTTTTCTGTATATATGTTGTTGTTGTTTAGTCATTAAGTCATGTCCGACCCTTTGTAACCCCATGGACCAGAGCACGCCAGGGCCTCCTGTCTTCCACTGCCTCCCAGAGTTTGATCAAATTCATGTTGGTACCTTCAATGACACTATTCATCCATCTCCTCCTCTGTCATGCCATTCTCCTCTTGCCTTCACACTTTCCCAACATCAGAGTCTTTTCCAGGGAGTCTTCTCTTCTCATGAGATGGTCAAAGTATTGAAGCCTCAGCTTCAGGATCTGTCCTTCTAGTGAGCACTCAGGATTGATTTCCTTCAGAATGGATAGGTTTGTTCTCCTTGCACTCCAGGGGTATCTCAAGAGTCTCTTCCAGCACCACAATTCAAAAGCATCAATTCTTTGGCAGTCAGCTTTCTTTATGGTCCAGCTCTCACTTCCATACTGCACACAAAAATGGAATACAGTTCCTAATAAGAAAATATTACATGGAATTGTACCTTCACCAGTAGCTTGAAATACACAAACCTTAATGGCTGATGTGAACTTGAGAGGCTCATTAGCATACTAGGAACCAGCCTGCCTGATGTATGCTCTGGTACATGCTCTTTGCATACCAACAGCAAAATTGTAACACATGCTTTTATCAAGAGGCAATCCACACTTCATTGCCCTCCCAACCCTGGAGTAAAGATGCGAGACAGTGATATGGGTTAAATATGAGCCACACTTTATTGATATAAATTCAGATTCGAATTTGCCATCCTTTGGCAAAAGGAGGGGCCTGCTGTAGTGTGGAAAAGGTAAATGGCAGGGGTTATCCAAATACCACTTGATCAACAAATGGGCAAGTCCCTGGCCCCAGGTTCCAGCGGTCTTAAAGACAGCCAGGACCTGGCTGGCTGCTAATAAACACCCCCAGACCTCAAGCCATCTTTAGTTGATGACTGTTGGCCCGGAAGTGGCCCAGCGCATATTCCCGCCCCAGGCACTGTAATCGCACAATCCGCAATGCCGAGAGGTCTGATGCACTGTTGGCTTACCTGAAATTACAGCGGGACACACTGAAAATACCTGTTTTTTCTGCACTACCCACCACAGTACAAGGACTAGCCATGTTATGTCCCATGCCTGCTTGACTCGAGAAGCAGGTCCCCTCAGAGGTCTTCCAAGAAGACATCCAACCTAAATCAGAAAGGTGGACACCGACTTCCCAAAAAATTACAGGCCTCTCCATTAGGATCCTTTGGTGACCCTTTACCGATCCAAGGCTGTTGCAGACATATCTGCAAACCACTCGATTAATGCCCTGCCGTACTGCGTTACTATCCAAGGTACTGTATTCCTGGTGCCTCGCCAACCAAGGAATAATTAATGCCCTGCCGTACTGCGTTACCATCCAAGGTATTCCTGGTGCCTCGCCAACCAAGGAATGCTCGTGAACCACTCAATCGGCATAACGTGATACCTGGCATTAAACCCATTTAAGGTTACAAATAATGTCCTGGGTCAATGCCTTATCGGAAAGCTATGGGCAAATCATTGCCATCAGGATATACTACCAGAACAACTGGTGGAGAATGGCCAAAGGCTGTCACCCTGTATAACAGGTTCCCCTGCATGCCTCATATTTCTTTCCACATAATGTGCGCATGGTCTCCCATCCCCAAATCACTCATCTATGGGGAAGTCTTCAGGCTTATCCATTAGGATCCTCTGGTGACACTCACCGATCTAGACCACTGCAGACCGCACTGCAGCCCTTGCGGTTAACACCCCTGTGTGTCATGTTAACCTTGAGGAACACTCAGGCCTATCCATTAGGATCCTCTGTTGACACTCACCGATCCAGACCACTGCAGACCACACTGCAGCCTTCGTGGTTAACACCCCTGTGTGCCGTGTTAACGTTGAGGAAAAGACCTACCATCTCTCCTCCCCGAATGAGGCTTTGAACAGGAGCATGTTTTAACATACATTAATAACCTTGATTGGACCTGAACATTATTAGTGTACCAGTCCCCAATTAGCACTCTAGACTCTTTAGAGGGGAAGAAGGAAGTGGAAGGGTTGTCCAACAATCTTTTGCTACATGATTTTTAGCACCTGTAACTGAAATAATCTTTGTGGTATTCACCCTTATTATGTTAAATAAGTCATGCATTATTCATGTTTTATGCTGATGTGGTTGAGAGGTGGGGTGACTAGAGATGTTGA